GTTCTGGGCGGAGGAAAGCATACTCTGACTTCAGATTGCAAAGGGTCGTGTTGGCTGCTGTGATGAGCGGGCAGGGGGAAAGGATGCAAGTGGGGGGCCAGTTGGGAAGACAGCACAGTAACCCAGAGACGAGGGTCGGCTCGGCAGGAGTGGAGCTGGTGAGAGAATGTGCTCCGAAGGAAGAGCCAGCAAGGTGTCTTGAGAGGTTGGGTGGAGTGTGAGGTCAACAGAGGAGTCAGGGTGACGCTGGGGCTTTTGGTTTGAGCACCTGAAAGGACGGAGTTTTCCATCAGGGAAGATGTAGGTGTGGAGCAGGCTTGGCCCAGGGGAGGAAACCACACATTCAGTTTTGGACCCCCTGAGTTTGAGATGTTTATTAGCCACCTGAGTGGAGATGCGAAGAACCCAGATGGGTATATGAGTCTGCAGTCTGGGAGAGAGGTCTGCGATGGAACTGTAAACACAGAGCCGGTGTGCGGGCTATTTGCAGCTACAAGATTAGAAGAGATGACCAGAAAGTGAGTGGAAATGGAGAAGAGGGTCAGCGATCTTGTCCTGGGCTCCCCTGCCCAGGAGAGGTTGGGGAGAGGAAGAGAAGCCAGCAAGAGACTGATAAAGAGTGGGTGGTGACGTGGGAGGACCAAGAGAGCGTGGTGTCCTAAGGGCCTGTAGAAGAAAGTGTGTTGAGGAGGAGGGAGTGGCCAGCTGGCTAGATGCTGCGGAGACCTACCAGGTAAGAGGAGGGGTGAGGGCTGACTGTGGGACAAAGCAACACAGAGGTCATGGTGACCCCGACAGGAGTCCCAGGAGAGTGCTGCACTCGGGTTTTAGGGAGCAAGGCCCCGAGCGGCTGCACAGCAGTGACTGAGAGCTGTGGACGCCGGCCTGCTGGGGGTCAGATGCCAGCTCTCCACTTATTACTGACTGTAGGCAAGGTATTTAAACCTCTCTCTGCTCCATTTCATAATCTGAGGCCACTACTTCACAGGGTTGTTATAAGGATTAAATCGCTTAGTGTCTGTGAAGTGCCAGGAACACAAGCAACACAATAAATGTTTATCGAGTTAAAAGGAAAAAAAGAAAGAGACTGGAGAAGAGATGAATCAGACCATTCTTTCGAGGAGGTGTTGCTGCAAAGAGAAGGAAAGAAACGGTGAGGGTTTGTTAGCAGGGAAGAGGGGTAAAAAGGAAGGTTTTTGTTTGTTTGTTTGTTTTGAGACAGTCTCACTCTGTTGCCCTGGGTAGAGTGCCGTGGCATCAGCCTGGCTCACAGCAACCTCAAACTCCTGGGCTCAAGCGACCCTCCTGCCTCAGCCTCCTGAGTAGCTGGGACTACAGGCCCTCTCGCCACCACACCCAGCTAATTTTTCTATTTTTAGCAAAAATGGGGTCTCGCTCTTACTTAGGCTGGTCTTGAACTCCTCAGCTCAAGCAGTCCTCCTGCCTCAGCCTCCCAGAACGCTAGGGTTACAGGTGTGAGCCACTGCACCTGGCCAGGAAGGTATTTTAAGAAGGAAGAAATAACAATGTCTGAGTGCCAACGCGAATGGTCCATTACGGAGGAGAATTCAGTGATGCAGAAGACAGAGGGGAGACTTGCTGGAGTGATGTCTTGGAGGACGGATAGGACCTAGTACCCAAGTGCACAAACTCCACGTGACTTCCCTCACCTCACTGAGGACATCCCCACCGACATCTCAGGGGACCAGCCCTGACTAACCTGTTAACTGCTGCACCCAACCCCCCATCTCCCTTCTCTGCTTTACTGTTCTCTCTCACTGGTCACCATCTAACTCACAAGTTTATCTTGTTTTGTCTGTCCCCTAACTAGCATGTAAACTCCCTAAATGCAGGGATTTTTGTCTGCCTTGTTGACAGTTGTATCCCCAGAGCCTAGAACAGTGCCTGGTTCATAGTAAATGTTCAATAAATATTTGCTGAGCAAACAAATGAATTGGTAACTGAGCTAATGGAGTTCTTTGTCCACCAGGGAAGAAAAGCTCTCTTCTTTGTTTATTTTTCACATACTTCCTGAGCATCTACTATGTTCTAGGAACTGTATTAGGATCTGGGAAACTGCAGATGAATCAGACACCGTCTTTGCCCTCAATGCATGTGTGTGTGTGTGTGTGTGTGTGTGTGTGTGTGTGTTGGGGGCAGGGGAGATAACAGATAAAAAGCAATTCCAAAGCTGTGCGGTAAGTCTCACAAGAGAGGGAAGTTTGGGGTCTCATAGGCTCAGGCATGTGGGACAGGGAAAAGCTTCCCGAAGAAGGGTCACCTGGCATCCAAAGAGCTAAGCAGAATCGACAAGGTGTGATGAAGCAGACAGACTACTGCGTTTCAGGTGGAGCAGCAACGCGGGCACAGGCCTGGCGGTGAGTGAGAGTGCGCGCCCAAAGCTCACCTCGGTTCTCACGCTCTCACTGAAGCCTGCCTGGCCGCTCACCCCCTAGACCCTCGCTGTCTGCTCTGTCACCCCAACAGCGAGCGTATCATTTGCCGGGCATTGCCCCGGACTGTGCGCCAGCCACGCACCGTGGGAGCCTTGGGACCTCCGCAGGTGGTCCCCCTTCTGAGGAAGGGGCCCTGGTGCCTACAGTGTCAATTCATGCACAGTAAGAGCTCCGGAGTCATTTGCCCACAAAACAAGTCTTGGGTGCCCACCATGTACCGAGTACTTTTCTGGGCACAAGAGAGGCAGCTGTGAGCAAGACAGACGAGGCCATGCTTTCTGGAGCTGTAGAACATTCTACGTGGGAAGATTATACAATAAATGAATAAGCATGTGAGTGAAAGATAATACGGCGCTGTGCAGAGAATAACGAGGGATAACGTGATAGAGTGGGGGCTCCCTAGGCTGGTAATCAGGAGAGGTCTCTGACATTTAATTGATTAATTAATTAATTGTCTCTGACATTTATGCTGAGACCGAATGATAACTATCTACCAAACCAATTAATGAACAAAAGGGGAGTAGGCAGGAAGACATTCTGAAAACCAGATTCTGAAAACTTAGGGAGGTATGGAATTCAAACAGGGAGCCCTCGGGCTTAGGTGGGGGGGATCTGGGACAGTATTTTACACAATGCACAGCAAATTATCCTCTAAAACCTAAGAAGACTTCTCGGAGGAGGTGAGTTTTGCTCACCTTTGATTTGCAAACATGATTAGACAGCTCGGCTTTTAGCTAAAGTGATGACCAGAAGGGAAGGCTCTGTGCCCATAGACGCTGCCTGAACAGCTGCTTCCTGGGCTGACCGAGGACAGGGCGGTGTGAAAGAAGATAGTCTCTGCCCTCTGGGGGCTCACAGTCCTGAGCAGGAAACAGGCAGGCAAATAAATAACTTCACTAAACAATCCTGCAGTGTGAAGAGGGCTCTGGCAGCCACACAAGTACAGGGTAGCTCTGAGCAGGAAGCTGTGAACTCTGCGGAAGGCTGGGGCAGGGGCTGTGGGGTGTGGGAACACTTGGCAGACTCAGACTCTGCCATTGGCTCTCCAGTCCCCTCCGTCCCCCACAACCTACCCTTCACACAGCATGCACAAGATCAAATCACCCGACTGCTCCAAACCCTCCAATGGCTTTCCCCTGCACCTACACTAGATCCCAAATCTTCGCCCAGCCCACGAGCCAGGGCGCTGTGGCCCCGCTGCCAGCTCCTCCCAACCCCACGTGCCCCTCCCCACCCACTTGTTCACTCTGCTCCAGCCGCATGGCCTCCCGCCTGTCTCTCCGACAGACACACCAGGCTCATTCCCGTCGCCCAGCCCTGGCCATGCTGTGTGTTCTTCTCACCCGGGAGGCTCTCCCCCTGGATCCTGATGGTGCTGAGTCCTTAGCACCGGGCCCCTCCGTCACCTGCTCGGAAGGGCCCTTCCTCGTGACCCTGGCTAGAGCTGCTTTTCTCTCCCACCCTACCTGGTTCCATCTCCTTCATAGCACTTGGCTTGAAGTTATCTTAGTCATTTGTGTGTGACATGCATATGTGTTTGCTTACGCTGTCCCCACCCACCCACCGACCCGTCACTGAAGGAGCAGGAACTGGGTCTTCTCCTGGCCCTGCCCTCAGATCCTAGCACAGTACCTGGCACTTAGCAAATACTGATGGGCTCTCTTCCCAGGAGTGAACGATGGCAGGGCCAATGGTTACCAGACTGGGCTGCACAGTGGCAACGAGGGAAGCTCCTAGCTGGGGCTGATGGACACTGCCCCGACAAAGGGCTGGGCAGGGTCACCAGGCCAGGAACCACCTGGGCCCTGAGTGTGTGGAGAGACGCTGCTCTGGCTACAAGGAAGGACTCTGGCCCTGTGCCTGCCTGGCCTGTCTGAGGATTTCTCTCCTAAACAAATACCCAAAGAGACTCCTCCCCAGTTGGAAGTCAGAGCAGCAGCAGGAGGAGGTGGAAGAGGAGGAAGAGGAAGGGGAAGAGAGAGGGTAGGAAAGGAAAAAGAAGACAGGGAGAAAGAAGACGAGGAGGAAGAAGGAGAAGGGAGAAGAGGAGGAAGGAAGCAGGGAGAGGAGCAGAAGAGGAAAGGGGGGAAGAATAGGGGAGGAGAAGGTTTAAGGGGGAGGGGAGAGAAGAAAATGAGGAGGGAGAAGGAAGAGAAGGGCAAGGAGGAGGAAGGGCAGGAGGAGCAAGCATGAGGGGGGAGGGAGAAGAAAGGGAGGACTGGGGAGGAGGGGAGGGTAGAGGGAGGGGAGGAGGAGCAGGGAGGAGGGAGAAGAGGAAGGAGGGGGTGGGAGGAGGAGCAGGAGCAAGAGCAGGAAGAGGAAGGGACCAGGCTGTGGACCAGACTGCCTGGGGCTTTTCTGCCTTCACCAAATCTGAGGGTCGGGGAGGCCCCTGGGCAACAGGAACACACACTTCATGTCCCCTTGGCCTCACAGAGCAAAGTGCACCCCAAATGGGGAGGTGGGGGAAGGGGTAATCGAAATTAAATTAAAGAAATTTTTTAAAGTTGGAAGAACAAATTATTTGGAGACGAAGCAAAAATATCTGTGACACAGCGAGCACTGTTTTAATGACAGCCCGTGTGGGAGGACAGTTTAGTCATATTTTTCATTTTCTTGTCCCTGGGGAGCTGCGTCCCAGTGATCAGGCCCTGATAGCAAATTGGCATGTTCCCTAAATCAGTCACCTTCCCGGCTTATTCAGCGGCAGGATGAGTCAGGGGGCTGCCAGTAACCCCTTCTCCATATGCTCAGGATGCTTGGTTCGCCCTCTGCGGGGGGTGGAGGGGGCCCGGCAGGCAGCTGAATGGGGAACAGGCCCTGGGCCCAGTGGGTGGGCAGGAAGCTTCGGAGGGAAAGCTGCCAGCTCCTCCCAGGCCAGCCGGCTGGCATGTCCTCGCCTCCCGCAGCTCCTAGGGGTAGGAATATGACTAGTCCCATATCTGGGGCCACGAGTGTGGAAAAGGATTTCTTCGAAGAAAGCTTGGTTAACTGCCAGGAGGAAGAAGTTCAGGAAGCAGTTCTGCCATTCCCTCAGGCATGAGCACTTCCAGGACTAAGATAAAAATAATGAGGATAATTTTAAATGACTACCAGGATGTGAGTGTTTACTGTGGGCCACACACTCCACACACATTCATTCATGTCTCCTCGCAACGGCCCCGGGAAGCAGGTGTGACCAGCCCCGTGGTACCCAGAGAACAGAGGCTCAGAAGTGAAGGGACTTCCCCAGGATGCGACGAGCACGTGTCTGTCACGGCAGAACTGGAACCCAGGCTTGTTGGGTTCCAGAGTTTTGCAGGATTCCAGCGTCCGCCCGCCTTTCTGCAAAACATGGAGGTTTGGGCTCCAAGTTGGAGGCGGTAAAAATACAAGACAGAGACTAGGAGGGGACCTACCCCCACTCCTGGCTCTTCACCCAGAAGATCTCAACTCACTTCAGCTACTATTTTATTTTTAATACCATTCACTTGGTACGACACTACATATTCTCTGAAAATCAGGAGGGAGCAGGCATGGTTCTTCCTGTCTTACAAATGGGAACACTGAGGCCCAGAAAGAAGAGGGAAGTGGACCTGGCATTGACAGAAACTGTACAACACCATCTGGACCCAACAGAGCTGGGCTTGAATCCTTCCTCTGCTAGTTGCTAGCTGTCTAGCAGGTAGCACATTATTTAAACTTTTCATCTCCATTTTCCTCATCTGTAAAATGGGTACAATGAGACCTATTATATCAGAGGACAGCTGATAGGCTCAAATGAGCTAAAGAAGTATGTTACAAATGCTCTGTGATCTCTAAGTGTCATGCCAGAATGGGGGGTGGCGTCCTCCTTCACAAGCATTAGCGTCAATACCGGTTAACAGGCACGGGCTCTCAGACTGCCATGCGCAACACTGGCCTGCACTTATTGTCTGTGAAACCTTGGACAAGTTACTTAACCTCTCTCTGCCTTGCTTTCACCATCCATTAAGTGGGAATACTATTAGTATCTTCCTCGTGTGTTGTTACGGAGATTAAACGCACGAACACACGTGTGAGTCAAGACAGTCCTGGCACACCGTAAGGGCTCAGTAACTACCGTTACTCACATGGTCACCACACCACTCCTGCCCACCAGGCAGATTCCCAGAGGCAGGCTCGGGTCTGTACTGTCCACTGTCCCCAGTGCTTGGCATGCAGCAGGCACAGAGCAGGGGCCCGGGGCACGCTGAGTAAATGGAAGAATGCGCAGCAGCCTCCCGCCCCCTGCAGCATTTGTCCTACCCAGTGACCCGAGGACTTCCTCGCCAGCATTTGGCGTTTGTGGGATTCCTTGGGGTTGCCGTGGCCATCCGACAGCTCCACTGCACCGAAGCCCCCAGCCCCAGGGCTGGCTGCCTGCCTGCCCCCGGTGGTCCGCAGAGCCTAGAGAGGGGAATGGGGTCTTCCCAGCCCTCCATGGTTTGCTCTCTTTTTGTCTCCTCGCCCCAGAAAACTGCAGAACCTCAGTACCGAACATCCTTTCAGACTCTGCATCTGGGTTTATGGCTTCCTCCCTGGTGCCTGCGGAGGTGCTCGTGCCTAGGTGTGGGGCAGTCGGGGACACAGGCCTTATCTGTGCATGCTGGGTGAGTGGGTGGTGCCCCATGAGTGTGGCGGGCAGTATCTGGGAGTGCAGGGTGGGCGTGTGTGTAGCCGGGTACGTGTGTGCCTGCATGAGAGAGCAGGGGGGGCTGTGCGTGCAGGTCTGAGAGGAGTGGACCGAGACAAGTGGAAGGCAGGTGGGTCCGCGTGTAGGAGTCTGGGGCACAGAAGAGGCAAGATCATCCGTGTGTGGGTGAGGGGAGGCTGGGTGCAGGTGCAGGTGCTGGTAGGTTTATGTGCATATGTCAAATGGGGAAGGGGCAGGAGTAAGTCCCCAGAACCAGTTCCAAGACAGAAAAATACACCTAGTATTTTATCTCCATAAAGAATCTGAAGGATGGATAAAGACAGGTCGGCTGTAAAGGAGAAAATATTTTTTAGTTCCAAATATGCCTTAGACCACCAAATATTTTGGAAAACCAGAGGTCTCCCATCTCCGACTACAACCCTCTTTCCATTAAACACAATCTCTCTCCTCTCCAGCCTCTCAGTCCTTGGGCATCGTTACAAGAGCAGCTGTGAAACTGGGCTGCCTGGGTTCACATCCCGGCATGGCGCTTTACCTGTGACCCCGGCATGCTACGTACCCCCTCTGACTCGGTTTCCTTGTCTGTAAAACAGGGCCCACAACAGTGCTCCTCAGGGGGCTGTGAGGATTAAGTAAATTAATCTTTGCAGAGCGCTCAGAGAGTGAAGGGCTCCATTCACTTTAGCTCTTAACGTCCTAGCTTTTCTTTGCCACGATTGTACTCCTGGGTGGGAAATGAAAATGAATTCAAAAAAGCCCATCCACCTGCTCCGAGAAGCCCTCCCTGAACCTGCCTGCCAGGGTTGACTGCTCCTTCACCTGCTCCCTAGTCTCGGAGCCTGCATCTCTGCGTGGCTGGCACGTGCCAAGTTGCCGTTGCCGTTCTGATCGTTGTTTGACATTGGCTGCACGAGACCGTAATTGGGCGTGCACGTGGCCATCTCTGCTGGGAGCCTGCGAGCGTCCTGAGGCCAGGACTGTTCCACCATGCCTGGGTCTCTGGGGTCCGTCCGGCACAAGGAGACTTGCGGTAAGTGCTTGGCGGACTGAAAGTCTGAGCAGAGCGGTGCTGTGAACGGTGAATGTGAGCTTCTTACTGTTACTGAGTGTAAACAAAGCACAGGCTTTGCGCCCTCCCCCCCAGCTCTGTGTCCAAGGGGAGGGGAGAATGGGCTTCCGAGAGGGAAATAGCAGAGACCACACAGTGTGGGGGCCAGACCACTTCGCTGAGGCCACAGAGAACCAGGGGAAGGTGGGGCAGAGGACACACTCCCATGACCACAGCTGTCCCCAGCCCTCAGCTGCGGGACACAGACCAGCTTAACATGACAAGCCCTGTACTCCCCTATTTAGGGACCAAGCTTTGCTAGGGCTCAGCACCTCGTCAACTGCTCTTTTTCCTGCCATCAGTGATACTGGCTGTGCTGCTAATGCTAAGGACAGGGTGGCGTAGTCCTGCCCACCTTCCTAGCAGCCGTGGCAGTAGTGCCCTCCACACCTTGCTCCAAACCTCCTGCGTTAGGGAGCAGGGCCCTCTTCTCCCCCAAAGGGCTTCCAGCTGATGATCTGCCCCAAGTGCAGCCCCACAGTGGCCACAGGCGCCCCTGGCACACCTCTGTTCAGTCTCTTCCCTCCGTTTTTGCCCAATCCGCAGCTTATCATTGTTCCAACAAGTGGCTCCACAGAGCCCTGAGTGCCCCCTTGGGAGAACGGGGCAGTAATGGTGATCCCGCAGGTGCTTCTGTGAGGACTAAATAAAACAGTGAATGCAAAGTGCGCAAGGTCTAGTCCATACTAATCCCTCTGCAGATGCCGTGCTCTCTCCCCTTCCATCCACTGCTTCTCTTCCTTTTGCTCAATGAGCATCTGACTGAAAGGGTTTTATGTTCTGCATCCTGGCCCAAGCCTAGGACTGGGGGAGGGGGGATGGGGTGGCCCTGGCATTCTGCCTCTCGCTCTGGGTGATGGAAGTGAGGTGTTTGCAGAAAGGCCTGCCCAGATTAGTGCTGACCACACATCCCAATTGGCAATTTCTGTGGCTTCACTCTCCCTGGCCAACTACAGTGGGTCTGGCATAGAGAGGAGACCGAATTTCATTAATTGTGCACTAGAAAACAACCCCTTAGGAGTCAGACCTGGGAAGCTGTTTTTAATTTTCTCTTGGAATGGTGAGCACACAGGTCTATGCGAGTGTGTGTTTGTGTGTTTGGGGGGGGGGTGTGCAGGGCAGTAGAAAAGGGAGACAGAGAAAACCAGAAGAGCTGGGTACCCCCAGGTGAGCTGCCTGACATCTGGGGTGTGTGTGTGCTTGGCCCTTAGTTGTGGGTGCACCCCAGAGACTGGGAAGGGTGGGAGTGATGCTCACAGAGGAGCAGTCTGAGACTCCTTCCGCTGCTCCGTGTGGGTCCCTGGGGGTCCACCACACCCATGTAGTGCCTCCCAGGGACCCTGTGCAGCATGGCCAGAGCAGGCATCCATTAGGGCCACCAGCCGTACTGCAGGGCCCCTCACCCACCTCCCATCTCTCTCCAGAGACCCCTCCCACTTCAAGCCTCTTTACTTCCCCCTGGAAAGCCCCGATGATGCTGTCTGAGACTATGGTATAGGAGCCCCCCCCAACCCTCTAGAGAGTGCATTTCAAGGACTGGTGACAAGTGTGTTTACCTGCCAGATAGTCATTTGCATAAAGCACTGTGAACCACAGAGCAACCTCCACCCTGCAGACTAGCAACAACCTTGAGTTTGCAGAGGGGGACCATTTCCCTGACGTAGTGAAGTGAAAACGATTGTGTAGATGCAGATCTGCCACTTATGAGCTTTGAGATTGCAGGCAAGTTACTGAGATTCTCTGAGTCTATTTCCTCATGTGCATAACAGGGAAAATAAAACTGTGTTTATCTTGTACACCACTGTATGCCCAGTGCCTGGCAAATAGTAAATGCTCAAAAAATACTGCCTGATTGAGTAAATGAATATAGAAGGATTATTATTGGGATTAAATGAGAGGAGGGAAGTAAAACATTTATCATAGCAATGTCATGTATTAAGCATTCAGTATAAGGTGGTTATTATTGTTAGCTATTATCCAGGAGCAAAATCTTATCAGATTGGTTCCCAGCACTAATATAAAATCAGGTAATTACGGCTAAATAGTGACATGCCCCAAAGAATCTAAGCAGTTGCCCCTGAAGTCCAAAGGGTGATGTGTTGTATTCCATTCCATTTATTTTAACAAGTTTATATCGAGCACATCTATGTGCCCAGAATTGGTGAGATCCTATGCAAGATACAGAAGAATTAAGTCAGGCTACCCTCCTAAAGGAGTTACTTACTACTTGGAAAGGCAAGATCGACACTCATTAGCATAAATGCCTTCCGGCTGGAGCCAAAGACTCAGACTGCCTTCTAAGGGCCAGCGTAAAACTTTCATTTATTTCTTCAACAAATATTCCTAGTGACTTGCTGTGCAGCAGCAGGCCCCTGGCTAGGCACTGGGGACCCGAGATAAATATGATGAATTTGATGAGCTGCTCCCAGACTAGAGAACGAGATCTCATGAAAATGGGTCAGGACAACAAATGCTCATGCAGAGCACTACCTCTGTGTGGGCACGCTTGTTCTCGGTACTTAGGGAAAGGGCTAAGGAAGAATGCTTTCTTTATTCTGGGAGATGTGGGGCCCCAGAGCCCCAGCCTGACCTCCTGCCTGGAGCGAAGGCTGTCCACAGGCACCCCATGTTGACCATACCCAGCCAGTCCCTGAGAGCAGCATCTCCCGCCATGGTTCTCACCTGCATGGTTCCCAGGAATCCCGGCCCTTACAAGAATTCCGGAGTGTCTGTGCCGATCAGACGGGAACTTAGAGATCATCTGAATGAAGGTGGAGCCTTGTTTTGTAGCTGAGACTGAGCCCAGGGGAAGTAGAGGACCCCAAAGTAGTCCATTAGACAGCTACAAAGCTGAGTAAGATCCCTTGGGCCCCGATTCCCCGCCGGTGCTCTACTTACTAAAGCACGAAAATGCTTGAGGATTCAGAATCTCTCAAGAAGCCCAGCCTCACTCAGGTGCAGCAGGTGAATGAACACAGGTGGATTGCTGCTCCCAGCACCTGGCCAGTGGGCCCAAGAGAGACCTGGGGCTCAAAGTAGCAGCCAGGGGGGAAGCCAATCCCATAGTGGGTCCTGGTCTCTGTAAAGCTAATATGTGGGACACTTTGTCCCGCAAGTCGGAGACTCCAGCGTGCAGGGACTAAAGGGGTGGAGGAAGGAGCAGGCAAGGGCAAGTGATTTAGTAAAACACCCGTACCCAAGAGAAACAGACAGCAATTTAGTAGAAGAAAAGGCACCCTGGGACAAAGGTGAGTGCGGATGCAGACACAGGAAGTGTGGCTGAGACAGGTCCCCAACACCACGCTCACAGCGACACCGTGTCTAACGCTGCACTCCTGTGTAGAGATTCTGCTCCTACCCCTGCCTCCTCACTGCTTTGTAATGATGTGGTTTGTGAATGAGCCTGTCTTGTGTGCTCACTGCTCACTAATGGGAGAACAAGTGGTTCAGAGCTCGGGGACCAGGAAATCCTTAGGATTCTAATCTAAGCTTTGCCAGCTATTTTCCAGCGTTGTGCCCTTGGGCAAGTTTAACCTCTCGGATCCTCAGTTTTCTCATCTGTGAAATGGGGATAACAGTACTCACCTTGAGGTTGTTGTGGGGTGTACGTGAGATGCACTGGGTGTCAAGCACCTGATACTGGGCCTGAACACACTAAGGTGCTCAGTAAATAACAAGATTATTATCTTCGTATACCGCCCTGCACATTCTCAACACACTTGGGAGAGCAGCATAGTGCTTTCTTCATAGTGGGTGCTCAACAAGTATTTTTAAAGATACATAATTCCATATGTACAGACATGTGGATACACAATCAACATACATACATATATGTATAAATGCTTACACATATAAGTGCAGGCTTCAGGAGATCAAAAACAGACCCCGAAGGCCAGAAGGATTCTTCCATCCAGTATGCTTTGGGGCAGGAGTGCGTTGTCCAGAGAAAGAAGTGGGACCCTTTCCCTCTGACTCCAGTCTGGGATATACACTCGGCCTGGCCCATTGTCCCCTGAGCGCCTGGTGACCATCAGACCAGAGGAGGCAGAAGGGAAGTTCCAGTTCCAGCACCTGGCTGCCTTCTGCAGCCTTCCTTGGCGCCTACTTATTACCACCAGGTTAAAGGTAGGGCAGGGAAGTCTGAGCAGGCGGGAGGGGGAGGTCATGCGACGTGGCACGTGTTGTAGCGGGGGGGAGGGAGGGAAGATTTCCCAAAGGTTCTGCTAGCATAAAGCCGAGCCTCCTGGAGACAGCACCCATTTGGGATGTCCCAGGCCAACTGTGGTTCAGGCCTCTAAAAGCTGCTTCTCTCTGCAGGCTCACAGTGATGCTACAGAGTGATGGCTTCAGGACAGAAGCCATGGCGTTCTGACCTGCCTTTGAATTTGCTGGTTAAGCAGCAGGGTCATTTGCATCTACGGCCATATTCGAGCACAATTTGAACAATGAGAATTATCTTGGCACTGAAGCCCTCGCCTGGCATCGCTGATATCCTTGAAGAATGCCAAGCTGACTGGTGGGGGCCGGGGGGAGGCTGGAGCCAGGTGGAGTCACCTGCCTTTAGTCACAATCCCCCGGCCCCATGCGCTGCTGCTCTGCCACTTCACATTATGCTCATTTGCACGCGCCTCCCCGAGTCTGTCCTTAGGTCTTTTCATGCCTGTGTTCATGGGAGTAGAAGCTCGGGAGGCCAGAAGCTCAATCTCCTTTGCTTAGCTCTCTTATGGTGCCCCAGGCCACGGAGCTCAGTCCAGGCCACGGGAAAGGCCACAGCCTGGGCGGCAGAAGCAAGCAAAGCAGAGGGATGTGCAATTGCTTGGTGAATTCAGGCAAATAAACTATTTTCAGCCCTCTGGCTCCTCTGGTGTGCTGGATCCCTTTCATGTGTCTGTGGAGGGTTATTTTGGTGGGATGGGGCACTCAGGACAAATTCCCAGCTGTCAGGCCATTAACATCGATTT